CCAATACTTACATAACTGTTCCTGCGCTTCCTTTTCCTGTCCACGCTGGTGAGCTTTCTCTTCCCTTTCCAACAGACTTGGACTTTGAGCACATTTACACACAAACACGTATTAACGGAGCCCAGAATCAATCCTAAAACCTGCCAAATTCCAAAGAAGCGAAACATTTGTCATCTGAAATTTACTTCAGAGAGTCTGATTTCTGAAAGTTGAATCTCCCCTCTGTGAGTCTTATGGTTGTTTTAAAGTTATAAAGACAGTCTGTGACTGTGTTGAGCTGTGGATTCTTACCAGTACTTGCTCTGAGCGGTGGAGGAAATCAATATTTCGGTGAAATCCCCCAAAGCTATTTTTCCATCCATTGCACACAAACTGTAAATGCTGCCATAAGTTACATATAAAAAGTGGTTTAAAAATCCTTTCAAGGTAGATCTGAGGATTTACACGTGAAATGTTTACCTGGCTTCATGTTTTTGTTGCAGTAGCTCACAGATGAATACTAAATCCAGAAATTTCATTTCCATATGGGCTGGTCTGGCTTAAAGTCTGCCGAGTCCCATTTAGGCCAATGAGAGAACGTCATGGTCTATTATACCGCGCTATCAGATATCAGGAAAGTTAAACTCAACAAGGGCCTTCTGTGTTCATTGACCTTTTGATAAAAAAATGAAACACACTCAGTTAAGAGCTCACAGTAATGTGGAGCCTCGCTAAGAAGCCAGGAGTCTTTTCCAACTGTGTGCTGATTTTTGAAGCAGCCAGTGAGCCATGTGAGCCTGACTGCTCGGCCATCGGTAGAAAAGAGGAGTGGGAGTGAACAGTCAAAACAAACACCGTTTAACAGAAGTGAGTCACACTGGTGGGAGTGGAAAAAGGCAAGACGAAAACGGATGCTTTCGTTAAACACACTAAAGCAAATCAGGTCTCTCTTGTAAATGAGTCCTCGAGGCTCAATGGGATTTACCTGTCTAAATAAAAGTTGATTGATGAAGCAAATAGAAAATATATTCATGTTGTATCGGAGAAATTGGACTTTTGGAAATTACAAGTGCAAGAATGGAAGACTTTTAACAAATTTATGTTTTTAATCTCTAAATATGAAGCTTTAAGATGTGGGTGGTGAAAGTAAAGTTGTAATAATTTGCAAGTCATGTATAACTTTATGACTTGTTTGAAATAACTTTTAATACCTGTTGCTGAATGTGGACAGTGATGGGGACTGAAAACCTCGTTTCTGTCAGGGTCCGACATGTTTTGAGCTTTAGGTCTCCCCTGCATGCTCCCTCGGGTTTTTCACTGTCACACAGAGCCTTTCTGTTTGAGTGATGGAGGGTCCTCAGGATCCTAAACATCCGGGACAGAACAGTTTCCTCCAAAGTGCTCCAGAACTCTGTGAGACAGGTGACCCTTCTCAAGACGGTTCAGGTACGGATGAGAAAGAATCACACTGCTGCAGGATCGTTTGTTCCTGTGATGGATTAAGGATGTCCCTCTGAGGGGGACAGCTGCTGTGAAATCAACTCCAGTGATCTGAAATCCTGCAGGATGTTGTCCCACCGGCTCAAAGATCTCTACACCCAGCTCGTTAGTTTCAGAGTGCCACAATCCCATAGACCAAACACACTGAAGCACACGTTCTAATCTGTCAAGCTTAAATGGCTCATTTTCAGTGTGTAAATAGAGCAGCCTGTAGTCAAAATTATTAACCATCACAAGGTTTGCTCTGAGGCCAGAGTCTATCATAAATGTCTTGATTCATACCATACAGACATCATTCATAAAGCTTCCTCTGCTCTGCTCAACAAGTGAAAATAAAGCAGACACTGAAACAGCGGAGGAGGTCTGATGGCTCATCACAGTTGATCAAGCAGAACAAGAATGTGTTACAGTAAACTACAATCTGTCAGACGGGCTTCTCTTCAACAAAGCTTTGGCTGCTATTGTTGGCCCACTGAACGTTCAGAAAATGTTGTGGCATAAGGCATTTTACTGCTGAATGTCACGTGGATTACTACAAACCCACTATATAGCCAGTTCTGCACAGAGAACAGTAAATTAGCAAGACTACAGGAAAACTGCAGCAGATCCACTGGAATGAACAGAGGACAGCAAAATGGAAAGAAATGCAGAGGTAACATTTCCAGCAGGTCTAAATGAAACCAAAAAAAAAATTTTAGTCATAGGAGACTTGGAAACTTTGAGGATCGAACCACGTTTGTTTAGAGACTGACCTACTCTACTTTTTGACCCAAAGAACATAAAATGCAGATGAGACGGGAACATCAGCAGTTTCTGCAAATAGTTAACCTGAAAATAAGGAGCTGTGGCAGCACTAGATGAAAAGTTGAGAGATTAATAAAGTGATTTTAATTATATATTGAGAGACAGACAGACAGACAGAGAGACAGACAAAGAGAGAGACATACAGACAGAGAGAGACAGATAGAAAGACAGACAGACAGACAGACAGACAGACAGACAGACAGAAAGAGACATACAGACAGAGAGAGACAGAAAGACAGACAGACAGAGACAGACAAAGAGAGAGACATACAGACAGAGAGAGAGAGACAGAAAGACAGACAGACGGAGACAGACTGAGACAGACAGACAGAGAGAGTGAGAGAGAGTAACAGACAGACAGACAGAGAGACATACAGTCAGAGAGAAGGACAGACAGACAGACAGACAGGCTGAGACACAGAGAGAGAGAGAATCCATCCATCATCTTTTACCAATCCACAATATAAAAATATGAACTGTCAATGTGCTTCACAGGATCAACACTTGTTAGAAATAAATAAAAAAAGTTTTATTCATCTCTGTAAAGTGGAACAAAAGTCATTCCTGCCACAATACTTACTTGGCTTCAACATAAGATATTAGTTTTACAACCATTCACTATCAGGCAGAAAAAAAGGGGGGGGGGGTATGTATCCCTGCTGAAACCAGGTCTGATCGATGGGTCATGGATGGATATTATTGTCACAGAGATCAATCAACCTTTATTTATACAGGTAAATCCCATTGAGCCTCGAGGACTCATTTACAAGAGAGACCTGATTTCAACAAAGAAAGATGACAACAATGGACAACAGCAACAACAAATGAAGAGATGAAGGCTGTAATCCACTGAAGAACTGATAAGGTAAGAATATCTAGTTCATTCCCTTCTCCCCATCACTGACTTTGATTGACAGGTGTGTGTGTGTGGGGGGGGGGGTCACGCTTGTGAAATTTTTCATCTTCTTCCAGTCATTTCATCCAGTTTTCTATACACAACTCACAACCTCATTCCCGTTCAAAAACGTCTCACAACTATTTCACTCTGTACAGTCACACATGTTTCCAGCCTCACACTTTTCTCCCTGGGACAGTCAACACCTCATTGTGGCTGCCACTTTTCAGTCCTCCCTCCCTCTCTGATTGTGGCCTTGTGCAGTAAGTGTGTGTCACCACATGAGCGATGACAGTCAGGTATCAAACCTCGTCAACCAAGCTGCCACCCACGCGCAGCATCATCCCGAGCAGATTCAAGCATGTAATCCCAGCAAGCACCGCCACCCCCCACCTATCCTGCTCCGCACCCCGCAGCATCCTACTCTGCTGTCGGATCTTGTGTAGGCGTGTGTGATGCTAACTTGCTCAAATTATAAGAATATTGTGATTTAAGAGGAAAATCAGGCACACACACACAAAAAGTGAAAACTGACGCTTTAATTTCCTGCAGCGTTCAGGACATTATTTATTCCAGCTGAGAGGAGAGTCTGTGGTTAAAACTGCATCAACTCTCTTATCATTCTAGGTCATTAATATCCATCCATCCGTACGGACATCTTCACAGCAAAAAGCACCAGAAGGAGAAATGATGTCATTTGTGTGTCAGTGTGTTATCCTGCAGGGATGTGAGTGTGCTTATATGCTCCTGGCTGTTGTCAGCTTTTCCTGCTCACCATCACGACAGCATATGTGCGGGCTAAACGCTGATGACGTGGGCCACCAAGGGACAGCAGAACCACAGCTTCGTGTCAAACCGGCCAGTAATTATTAGTCTTGTTCCCACTGGAGTGAACAAGTAGAAAAGACAACCATACTGAGGGAGATCACTGCAGAGTGTCTCTTCACCTGCAGGGTCAGAGCTAAACTAAACAATGGTGCAGTTTACTATGATCAACTAAGAGTGGGGCCAAATGCACAAAAGGTTTCATGGACCAGAACCGTAGAATCAAAGTTTATGCAAAATCTGCAAATAGGGGAGCCATTTTCCATCAAAGATGCAAGACACTTTACAGCTGCAGTATAAATATTTGGTGGTATAGTTGCACTGCATCCTGTTTAGTTGGAAGAAACAAGGTTTGCATATATCAGTGTTCATTTTGTAAACAGGCTCTATCAGAGTTTGGAAACTCCTGAGTGAACGTGTTGCTCTCTGAATCGATGCAGCCCACACAGCATCTTATGCCCTGCCGGCCCATTCTTAAAAACAAATGGAGCTTTTGCCAAAAGTCAGTACATTAATCTGTCTTTCATGGCTATACGCTTTGGTGAGCATGCATGGGACACTCTGTGGGGCCACAGTGACAGCAGCACAGCTGACAAAGGCTTGGATAAACACAGGTCCACTGAATGCAACACTAACTGCCTGTGGGACAATGACAGGGACGCTTTTGTCAATCATCCACACTTATCCACTCACACCTGATAACATGCTAAAGGCTGAATCATCACCTCGCAGTCTGGGTCAACCTTTCAATCCTAAATAAACACATCAGGCTCATCAGATTGGACTGAACTTGAAACCAGTAAAGCAACCCAGGAGCCAGTGGGTGGGGGGATTCCATGTAGGATGTCAGTCCAGGAAAATACCGTTTGTGTTGCATGTGATCCATCTATAGGTATTATTATTATTATTATTATTACCCAGGTGCAGACGCTTTCTGACAGTTACACGTGCATATAAATAACCATTATACATCGACTGAATAAATCATATTTACTACCTTGGTTGTCTTCGTTCATGTCTGCAGCCAGCAAATCTCCCCGGTTCCAAAAACTTCCTTTGCGTCTAATTTACTCAAAATGCACGCCCTGGTCTCCAGGACGCATTGGGTATTATTGCTATAATTATTATTATACTGGTGGGAGGTTCACGGGCAGCAGCGTCTCCCTTTAGGGGAATAATGTGGCCATTTAAACCGCCTCACTTCTTCTACTCCTTCCGGCTCGTTTCTGTTGGTCCGTCACTGAGAGCTGGGTCTGCAGCAGCAGGTTGGCTTTAAGCTCACACTGACCGAGCCTGCTGTCGTTATCCCTCCAAATACGCCTTCACTCCACTCATATCAGGAGAGCCGCGCGCGCTGCTGCGTCAAGCACCGCGACGCGGAGCGTGAACAATACCGGAAGTACAATTTTACTAAAAACAAAAGAGAAAGTACGGTGTTCACACGAGATATCATCTACAATGGGCCTTTTTAAATTTGTAACAGATTTTTTTTTCAATTTTTTTTAATTATAACTGTGAAATAACATTTTGGTTTACCCACGCGTGGCCGCATTTCAACTATGCGCTGCTTTTATTTTGAAATTCTAAACAGGAAGTTGTTTTCATAAACGTGACCTTAACGTAAAGATTATTAAATCCTGATTCCAGCTCGTGCTGAGCGTCAGCGTTGATCAGCTTCACGTGACCCCAGGCAGCAGGAGAAATTTAAGATGAATATAACTATGATTTTATTTATATTCAATTAGTTTATTATTTCGTATTCACTTATATCTAAGCTCATTTTCATCACAGGGATAAGAGAAAATAATCCTCTAAATTAAAATTAGGAGAGTCTCATTTAAAACTGTATCTCATATTTATGAGAATGAAATAATGAATTAGCATTTCATAATAATAATATATCTTTGTTATACCTTCCTCATAACTATGACTTTATACATCATGAGATAGTAACTTGCAAACATGAGATAGTTATAAAAAACAATATTTCCTGCATGCATTAAATATATACGCTTATAAACTAATTTATAAATGTTAAAGTTCGCATGTAGTCAACCATTTGTTTTGTCGTTGTCTTGTACCTTGAACTTAATGCTTTTGACAATATTACTTTTTAAAATTCTAACATTCTTGTTCAAATTATTCAACTTGTAACTTTCTACAGCCTGTTTAACATTGTGCAGGAGCTTTGTTCTTCCACAATGGATTTGTTTATCCTTTTTGATTTACCAGTTTCAATCAAATAAATGTAATTTGTTGATGCTTAATAGTTAAAATGATGATTTAATAAAATATAGTGTATCAAAATATATGTACAACGTTTTACCACAACTGATGTGTTATTTTGTTAGAATCATTTTTCTGTAAGGAGTATTTCACGAGTTCATTTAAAATGTTCTGCATGATCTCCACTAATTTGAATCTGATGTGTTATTCATGGGAACACTTGTAATTATTTGTTGTGTCAAATTTAACAGGTGATATGTGATATGACCAACAGGGGATTGGCCATTCTTTATCTGTAATGTAAATAAAATGGCATTATGAAACATCTATTTGATCCATCATACTAAACATAAACCGTCCCTCGAGATACGTCAAAAATCTCATGTCTTCATCGCACAATACAGATGTTTTCAGACTGCTATATGCAGATGCACAGAAAAGTTTCCATAAATGATTTCTAAAATTAATTTAAGTTAGCCACACAGCTGCAGAAACGGCTGTAGGCCAGCATGTTGTGTGTCTGTGTGCAGAAACCAAAGTAGGTCACAATTTAACGTCTAAAAAGAATAAGTTCAGTTTAGATTCAAGGCTGAATCCTGCACTCGTAGATATTTGCAGACTTTGTTTCTACAACACACGTGGTTTCAATTACAACATTCCTTCTTCTACAATGAAGGTGATGGTGTGTGTGTGTGTGTGGGGGGGGGGGGGGTCTCACTTCCTGTGTGAGCATTACTCCAGTGGTCAAGCATGAACAGATGTTTTAATGTACTAAATAGTTTATTCGTAGGTGTCACTTTGAGAAAAAAATGTTTCGTTTTCAGTCTAAACAAAATGACATCATGCAGCCGTAATAAACGCGCTTCTTCTGACACCATTTCTTCTGTCAGGGGGGTTAATTTATTTTATTTTTTATGTGGATTCATAGTGGCTGCTGCATTCTTCTTCACTTTTAGTAAAATATTTCTTTAAATAAGTGATGATAAGGAGGCCTCACTAAAAGAAGGTCAAATTAAATATTTTATGCAAATTGACATCGTCAGGAACAAATTCTTACCCAGTCCAACAAATTTCTTAAATCCAGCTCGTCCCAGTCTGGTGCAGTGAAAACACAATGAAATGATTGGTGCTGAAGAAGCATTAAAGCTGCATGTGTTTGCTCTGTGCTCAGACGAGAAGTCTCTTGAGAAGGAAAACGCACACGTTTTAAAATAACTTAAATTCCTTGGTATGTTTGCCCCAATACTGTTTAAAAAAAAATCTGTTTTAATGCTGGATTTTAAGTTTTGTGAAAACAGAGCAAACCGGAAAGTGTGTGCAGAGAGGGGACCTCTGAGTTCAGCTCGCTTCAGTTTGGGGTTTAAAGGCTCCACTTTCACTTCTAAATGAGATTTCCTCTGATGAGGACTGATGCAAAACAGCCAGCGCACGCAAGAAGCTGCAATTTGAATAAACCAAGCTGCAACTGCCAAACAGGTCAGTGTTAGCAGTCGCCTGGAAAAGAAAACCATAAAGAACAGATTTGCTGTCCATTCAGCGCAGGACCTGCTGTTGAGCAGAACCTCTCCAATGGAAGACCCAACAGAACTTTCATAATTATGAATCTGCACCACACAGCCATGCAGACTCAATCGGTGCATTATTCACTGCTTGTGTCAAACTACAAAACAGAAGCTGTAAAAGTGGCCCCCCAACAAAGACGTGAGTGGCTTGAAATGAGCGTGTGGGGTGGCTGTTTGTGCTGCAGAGGGAGGTTCCCCCAGGGAGGTGCACGTCTGGCAGATTAGGCCAGGCATCGTGAAAAACGACTGCGATACTCCTGACCGATTTCACATGACCTCATTGAAACCCCTTCATATGTCCCAGTCGCCACGGCGATGCCCACAGGCCCAATGCCTCCTTCTTATGTGATTACCCCCCACCCCCAACATCCCTGGCCTCTGTTTGGACATCTTTCTTCACATTAAAACTTCCCCCCCGGTTGTTAAAATGTTGATTCAGCATTCACACCATTGTTTTCCTGTTAGTGTATTTTTCTGAATGTTTTTGACACCAGACTACTTTTGCACACTTTGTGCTGTTTTATCCATTTATGTTCCAAACATTCAGTTCATTCTGGACATGTTCGTAACTTTTGTACTTCTCAAAACATTTCACTTAACTCACAAAAATTGTTGCCATAAAAATAACATTTAGTTTGCTTTAATTACTTCAAAAAGTGCATCACCCTCTGCACACCAGGAGCCTCTGCTCCTTCCCAAGTGCAGGACCAAGAGACTGACAAACTCCTTTGTCCCTCAAACCATCAGACTGTACCACTCCTCCCTGGGGGGAGGAGGAGTAACAGGAGGTCAGAGGATGGAAGGAGCAGCAGCCACCACCACCTTAAAACAGCCAGCAGCTGGTTATATTGAATTATTCCATGTTAAATCTGTGTGTATTAGTGTATATTTTTTATTTTACTTTACATTATTTATATCTGCTAATTGTCCCATTTTTTTTTCTACCACCTGGAATTGCTAGGAATAATCCCAAAGATCAATAAAGTTTTATCTAATGTAGTCTGAAAAGGTTCTCTTTGAAATCTGCTTCAACATATTTTTGTCTTCTTATGCAACCTTTAGTTTGTCTTTTGACATAACAGACAGAACCTTTTGTGGCAACAACAAGGATTTTATTTCAACATCAGCAACTCTTCGGTGGGGGGTACCGCAGGGGTCCGTCCTTGATCCTCTTCTCTTTTCTGCCACTACGTGCTATTTTTCATCAACGCAGCATACCTTTTCATTTTTACGCCGATGACTGTCATATTTATTTCCCTCTGAAGTAAACTGGTGCACGTTTTATCCAACCTGTTCTTGACTTTGCCTTGTTGGCATCAGGGACTGGATGGCTTCAAATTTCTTAAGTTTTAATGAGAAGAAGAATTAAGTCATGTTGTTTCCACCTAATGGCACAGTCAAGAACCACTGTATTGACCTTTTCTCTCTAACCCCTTTAGAAAAACAAATAGTCACTAATCTGGGAGTGAAAACGGACCCGTCCATGAAACTAAACATTCATGCAATGATTATTAAATCCTGTTTTTTTTATGTTGTTGTTGAGGCGACTGTCTAAACTGAAGCCCATACTGTCCTAAAGTAATCTTGAGACAGTAATACATATTTAAGTAAGTAAGTAAGTAATACATACTTCATAACATCCAGGCTTGATTACTGCAATTAACTTCTTTTTGGAATCAGTCAAACCATTGCACGTTTACAACTGGTTCAAAATGCTGCAGCCAAATTTTTAACTGGTTCAGGCAAAATAAGAGCACATTACTCCAGTTCTGGCCTCCCTTCACTGGCTCCCGGTTCACTTTTGAATTCATATTAAAATCCTTCTATATGTTTTTACTTTTTTTTTTACTTTTACTTTTAACTAGAATTTGATTTTATTAATCCTTTTGTTATTTTTAGCTGTTAGCAAGCCATTTTCTACTTTGTCTTTATCTTTTGATCCTATTAGCTACACTTTTATTACTTTATTTTTAGCTAGCCTTTTTGCTACTTTTAGCTCCTAACTAGCATTTTGTTATGTTTAGTATAAGTGTTTTGTGAACTATAGCTTTTAGCGAGATGTATTTGACATCAAAATTCAGCAGTCATTTATCATTCACTCATCATTTTTTGACGTGATTTTCTAGTTTGCTTTATTTTTTTTTTATGTCAATTTTTGCTTCTTTTTTTTTTTTTTGCCTGGACGGAAGGATGTGAGTCTTCCTGCTGTGGAAGTTGATCAGGGTTAATTTTTAGCTGCTTGTGAGTGACAAAGGTCGCAGGAAGCAGAGTGGCAGGATTTCCTCCCTCAGTCTCTGCAGATGAAAGTCCATCACGTCTTTCCTG